ACCACACAAATGGGATTATGCTGCAAAGTTCTGTAGTTGAACCTGAGTCAACAACAAACAGACAACCACTACATAAGGGAGTTTCCTCATTCAAAGCACCCCCTTGCATCCCTATCGAACAGTACCATCAGTCTAAAAGACAAGGACCACAGAACTTGTTTCATCATGAAAGTAATGCATTACAGGTAGACACATACAAATTGAACACCATGTCTGCTGCACAAACTGAACTTGCATATGTTGTTTTAAAGTCCATAGATGCTGAAAGATGCACAATCCCAAGCTGGACAGGTTTCCATACATTGCTTAAAGGTGATGGCACTCTGCAAAAGTCAGCACTGTATTATCTTCCAGTCATTGAGGCTTCACCGACAGAGATGTCAACAGTAAACACAATTCTGAAGCGAAGTGTCCAAATTGCTGATCAGCTAGAACTGGACCATATAGTGTTAGTTTTTGACCAAGCTATATATGCCAAAGCTCAGCAAATCCGCTGGAAAAACAATGACTTTACTCAGCGTATAGTGATTAGACTAGGTGAGTTTCACACATGCATGTCCTACCTGAGCATTCTAGGAAAAAGATTTGGAGATGCTGGACTGCAAGACATACTCATTGAGTCCGAAGTTGTTGCCCCAGGATCCATCAGTGGAGGGATCAGTGGTCATCACTACAACCGCAGCATGAGGGTACACAAACTTCTGTATGAGAGTCTGCAAGGCATCAGATTTCTCACCTTCGTAGACTCTTTGCCACCAAAGGAGAGAAATGAGTGTATGGATGTCATCAGTGAAATCAAATGTGCATTCCAGGACAGAACCATGGATGTTTTGTGTGCAAATGAAAAATTTGACAAAATGTGTTCAAAATATGTAGATTTTGTGAAAAGAAGAAGTGCATAAAACCCAACGTTTGCCTTCTGGAGTTCGTACATCGACATGGTACAGATACTTGATGATGCCGTGTTTTTTTGCATACGATCATGTAAATTATGCTAGGTATTTACCTTCATACTGGCTGGAAATGGTCAATTTGCCCCTCACACATCCTTCTTGCCACAGTGAACTCGGTGTTAAAGGCCAGTGGACTGTGCAACGTCAAAGTGTCCATGGATTTGCCTCGATTGCTTGTGACCAGGCCATTGAGTTGCTTGGTGCCAATCCGTGAAGTTTAAGCATATTTTGTACAAATTTGCCATATTTTATGGTCTACATTCACACTTGAGTATATAATGCACCAATATCTTTCTCAAATGTTAAGGTACATGTATAATGGTCAGTTTAAGAGATATTTTGTGTTGCTAAAATGAATATAAATAAAGTTATAAGCAAAACCAGCAGCTTAAGATTTTCGTTTTTGTAAATTCACAATTATACACATTTATGGATTGTGACAAAAAAACTGATGTGTCATTATCACAGGCCTGTGGCGGGGGCTTGTAGTCAGTGAATGGCTTTCAGTACAAGAAGTTATGTTCAAATAAAGTATGAATCTCTCACACAATAATATTTAATTGTATTTTAAATGACAAAAGCATTTCAATTTAGATGACATCATTAAATGCAAAAAGTCTGGCTGTGCTTAATGGGTAAATTTTTGTACCCTTTAAGCACATCCTTGTTCCCAATAAGCTTTATTGAAAAAAATCTTGTTTATTTTAAGCAACCTTTTTAAAGAATAATTGAAAAATATTTTATTTGAAGGTACAAATTCAACCACAAAAACACAGAACACTAAAATCAAGCATCAAGGTACTCAACTGACCGTTCGCAAAGAGTTTGATTGACAGGCGATCTGACCAATCAGAACGCAAATATTATGTGCTGCTGTTGCTATCCGCCATCTTGCCCGACAGCTACGGCCGGTCTCCATAGAAATCCATGTTAAAACGGGGTAAAAAAGATAGACTGGATTGAAACTTTTTCAATATAACTAAATAGGGGCGGACTGGGGCTAAAAAGTGGCCCTGGACTTTCTGGCACAGAGCGGCCCACCACACCATAAACCCACCAGCTCATTATGCACAGAGCAACTTTTAAAGGGGTCATATGATGCGATTTCAAGTTTTCCTTTCTCTTTGGAGTGTTACAAGCTCTTGGTGCATAAAGAAGATCTGTAAAGTTGCAAAGACTAAAGTCTCAAATCCAAAGGCAAGGCAAGGCAAGGCAAGTTTATTTATATTGCACATTTCATACACAATGGTAATTCAAAGTGCTTTACATAAAAGAAAATAAAAAAATAATAATCACAACAATAAAACAAGTAATTTAAAAACTTTGAAAATGATTTAAAAAATCTATTTAAGAGGTTTAAAATGAATTTAAAACGGTTAAGAATAGAAAACAATTATACATAAAATATAGTGCAATCAGTTCGGACATCGCGCAATACAGATTTGCGCTGCGCCGCTGCCTGCAGCGTCTTCACACACAAACGATACGTACTAGAGAAGCGTGAAGTGGGACATAATATACCTCTGTAAATAAATACAATTTAAATTCACGTCTCGCACACTTAAATGCCCTTTGTATGGAACATATACGCTCCCTTCAAACTGGAATCATGGTGGAATATCCGGTAATGTCCACTTCGCAGGGCACTTACAGTCAAATATAACAAACGTATGAAGCAATAAGAGAAACACACAACATGTGCAGAGCGGGGGTACGCGAGGACTGGAAATGAGAACCGCTGTTCTAGACATGCCAAAAATGTGAGGCTACAGCACAGCAGCTCTTTTTCTTCGTCGTCTCGTCTGATGCGCTCACTCAACCAAGCACTCCAAACACGACGTCGCCCCTCCCCACCCCCCAACCATTAGAATTTCTGTAGGTGGGAATTCTTTGTAATGATATTCTAATTATCCGCTTTGTGATATCATAAAGCCCGGAAACCAAGCGCTGTAGTCCAAACAAGCCATTTGCTGTAGTTCTTGAAAAGGATTTTTAAAAAACTAAATATCTCCCGTTGGAGTGGACTTTGAGATTTTTAACTTTCTAGATCTTTTTTATGCCCAAACATACACACTACACACTGACTAAAATACAAAAAGTGAAAAAGCATAATAGGACCCCTTTAAGTATTTGTTCAGCTGATTAAAGACTGCCTTTTCAATAATATTTCCTATAAAAGGAAGATTTGATATTGGTCTATAGTTGCTCAATATGGTGTTATCAAGATTGCTCTTTTTCAGAAGGGGTTTAACAACTGCAAGTGAGGCGTTCACCACTTCTAAGAGATCTGCTTCCAAACAGTTTTCAAAGGAGCAATGTCATCAATAACATTCTTAACTTTTGAGTTAAAGGAATCAAGGAGAAGATCAACAGAGTCTGCAGAAATGCTTGGTGTTAAAGATATAGCCTCCATAAATAGCACACTTGTGTTCTCGTTAATGCATCTCTTTCTGACAGAGACCTGATCTAGATTCAGTGGTAGCAGAGATCAATATATCAAGGAAAATACAGAAGTGATCAGATAGTGCTACGTCCTTAATAACAATGGATGAAATGTGTATACCTCTACTGATGATTAAATCTAGACTATGTCCACGATTGTGTGTGGGTTCATGCACATGCTGAATCAGGTCAAATGGGTTTAAAACAGTTATAATTTCTTTTGTAGTTTTGTTTTCCGCATTATCTATGTGAATATTAAAATCCCCTGCAATAGCAAAACAGTCAAACTCTGAGGAAAACATT